TCAAGGGTCTGTCCATATAAACTTCCCTCGTCCACTTCACGAAGTAGAACACACTTCAGAATGGCAGCGGGGATTGCCCCGAGGGGAAGTGCTTAGGGAAGTTCACGAGTGCATGTCTAAACGAGTGCATCAGAAACGAGTGATGGAAACGCCAAATTTTGAATAAAAATCCCTTAATTCACAAAGAAGTTTACGCTCGCTTTAGGTGGTTTTGGCAAAAAAGGGTTAATGCAAATAATGGGAGATGGAAATGCATTTGCCGAATAAATTCCTCCATGCGCATCAACTTGACTAGCAGCGGACCGATCTCGTTCACAGCATCTGAAATGTTGATTTGGTTGTTCTGAAATGCCTGAGCAAAGTCTGTTATCAAAGTATTTCTGTATAATTGTCTTACACGACTGCGTTCACAAACAGCAGCATCCACCTCTGAAAGCAATGTCTGCATTTATTGTGTTTTGTCTGCTCGCTCTGAGACCCGAGTAATTTATTATATATGAAAATTATTATATTCAGTGGCTTCTCCTACTTGTTTTAGTGATATATATATATAGTGAAAGTTTATCAGGAAGTGACGATTTTGTTCTCTTTGACTCGTTGGATGGAAGCAGTAATTGTTCACAAATGAATGCGATATTCCAGTTTTGCGCATAAGTTAAATTTGCAAATTTGGATGGAAACCCGGCTACTGACTCGTGCCTGCAAGTGTTAAGGAGCATCTTCTGTCTCACCTTCTGCGTCTCGTCTTTCTTCTCCTGTTTGAGTGTGTCCGTGAGGTTCACCAGCTTGTCCATGGCCTCCACCTGTCTGTTCAGGTGTTTGAGGTACATCCCACACGCCCGACAGAACGCCTCCAGCAGCAGCCCGAAGCGCCGAGACACCGTTTTATTGTGCATCTCAGACCTACACAACCACAGCAGGGTTATTATCCTTCACTACAACTAAAACCATTAAAAAAACATGTTCATTACTTCAAATAAAATACAGCTAGTTGGCAAGATAACATCTCTCATTTCATGTCATTGAAGTTGAAGAACTAAAATAACTAAAACTAAATAAACTAAAAACTTAAACTTAATAAAAACTATATAGACACATTAAAAACAACTAATAAAAAATGACCAAAATGTAAACTAAAATCAAGATATAAATTCAAAATATTAACAAAAACTACAATAGTATATTGAACCTGTCAAACACATGCCGGTTTTTAGGATCATATGCTGTAGGTTTTTATTTTAATGATAAATAAGCCTAATTCTCCCTAAATTATCATGACTGTAATGTAAAAAAGTTATTCTCATTCTTCTTATTTCATTGTAAAAAATATGTAAATTGTAAAGTATGTGACATATGTGACCCTGGACCACAAAACCAGTCATAAGGGTCAATGTACCCCAGCGACTTAACACTGCTTTTGTGCTGCAGGGACACATATGATTGCGATTCTTGTTACTTTATTGCAATAAAATATATTATGTAAATTATAACAGTAATGAGAATCATATCATATATACAGTAATGAGAATCACAGACAAACGTCAAGACGCATAGCAGAGATTTAAGAGAATAAAGTCTCTTTCTTTTGATTTCGGGCTGAAATGTGACCTGCATGTGTTTCCATGAGATTCACACAGATTCATGTCTGAACTCACTTCAGATGCCAGAAGAAGAAATGTCCGATCCGCTGATTGGTCAGCGCTTTCTTGATCAGGAACCGAGCTAACGGGTTATCCAGATACATCTCATATTTCAGTACCTGAAAACACACACAGATACAAATGAAACCTGTGGGGAAATAGAGCTGGAAAACGCTCCAGATTCTGACACACACACACACACACACACACCTGCACGAGCTGCAGCAGGTACTGGCTGAGCTTGTCGTCCGTCAGGCCCTGGATCAGGCAGCGCAGGGCAAACTCTCGCACCATGGGATCGGGGAAGTTACAGTCCAGCAGCTCCAGAGCGGATTCAGGCTGCATGAGCGGCCAGTCTTTCAGCAGACAGTAGATCTACACACACACACACACACACACACAGATGAGTGAGGGGAGCGCTGGATGAACGAGTGTGTGTTTAGACCGTATCATAGTACTGAGACTGCTCTCATTAGAGTTAC